AGGAATTTCTGCTCAGTCATTGACCTACCTCCAATCATAAACCTTACATTTCAATCCATTTTGAAATCTTATTATTTACCTTTAGAAACCTTTGCTTAAATATAATTACACACACACACATTTCATGAATTTCTCGGTGGGTTTTTCAACAGCTCCAGGTACTCATCCATTATCCACAGCCAGCAGAATGGCAAATATGAAATTGAAAAAACCAGTTTCAGTAGGATTTTGTTTAAACGCAGACCTGAAAGGCAACGCCACCTATTTGAAATTATTAGAGAAGTCTCCCACCTTATCATACAGAGGAATCATAAAGTAACCATTATTTGGAGCGCAGTCAGTTTGGTACTTCAAAGTGCCGTGCTTGGTGTACAATTTAATCTGCAGAAGAAACATTGAAAAGGGAGGGGAAAAAATGGTTTATTATTCTGGAAAAGCTGTTGATTTATGACACTTAAGTCCTGCTGCCATCGAACCCAACTCTTGGCCAAGGCCAATTGACAGGATCTTGCCAGTGTACAGTAATCTTCTACAATTTGAAACTCATCCCAAAATGTCTTAAAAGCTATTCCTCTCCAATTAATCGGAGGCTCTCATCTCAAAGGAGGCCACTGGTTTCTTTTGCCATAAATGGAAGAGGTCTTGGGTTGTGCAAGTCCTGTTGCATTTGAACTCTTGTGAAAACCAGCCCCTGTGGTTTGAAAAACAACAACCAACAACAGGGTTTAACCCTCTGAAAGTCGTCTCCTCTGCTTGTGTTTTGCATTTGGAACAGATTTCTTTTCAGGTGGGGAGGGGGAGTAGAACATCAGAGCATGTTAATAATAACAATAACAACAACAACAACAATATTGGAAATACTAATGCTCTGATGATCATTTCGAAAAAACCCTTTCTTAGTGAGCACCTAGAAGTCAAGAGGAACATACATGCCAAATTTCAAATTTGTAGACTTTACGGTTCTGGAGATTTTGTGATGATGCGTGAATGATATTTCATAGACAGAGATAGATAGATAGATAGATAGATAGATAGAGAGAGAGAGAGAGAGAGAGAGAGACAGACAGACAGACAGACAGACAGACAGATGAAGATAGACATGAAGATAGATGATTGATATATAGATATTATATAGAGATAGGTATTAAAGAGATCTAGATAGATGATAGACAGATAAATGAAGATAGATAGACATGAAGATAGATGATTGATATATAGATATTACAGAGATAGAGATAGGTATTAAAGAGATCTAGATAGATGACAGACAGACAAATGAAGATAGATAGACATGAAGATAGATGATATAGATAGGTAGGTAAGTAGAGATAGATATTATACAGTTATAGAGATAGAGATAGATATTATATAGATGGATAGGTATTATAGAGAAATAAGAGATATAGACAGACAGACAGACAAACAGAGGGGGGATTTGCACCAACGTACCTACCGTCCCTGTCCTATTGTTTCTTTTATATATTTTTTTATTTTTCTTATATGTATCCATGTATTCATAACTATGTTTTTACTTACACCTATTATCTTGTAAGCAATTGACAAAATAAAATAAATAAAATAAAATAAAGAGCTACGGTTGGAGAGACCCGCTGGTCTTTTCATTATAAAAAGTCACTTCTAATTTAACTTTTAATATTAATTAACGGATTTTTTTTAAATACCTTCCTCTTTTCCTTCCTCCCTCCGTCCAAGCCCCCCACCCCGTCCTACCTACCAGGGCGAGCGCTCACCTCGATCAGGGAGTAGTTGATCTCGACGTCGGACCTGACGAAGCCCCCGCAGCCCACCACGATGTCCTCGGAGCCCCCGGCCCCGGCCCAGAGGGCTCCGCACAGCGCCCACCACCAGCAACAACCCCTCGCCGGCGACCCGCATCGCCCCAGCATCGCCGAGCCGACCGTCGTAACACGCCGGCCAGCGCTGACTCAGGAAGAGAAGGGGGCGCATGCGCCCGCCAACGTGCTCGGTGGTTTCTTCGCAGAGGGGCAGAGTGGACCAGGAAAACGGAAGTTTACTTTTTCAGGCCGTGCTAGGCGGGAAGTGTTTTTGTCTCGGTTGCTTCGGAGGCTTCAAGAGAAGGACGCTTAGAAAAAAAAGAAACTTTTAGAAAGGGGAAAGCATTGGAGTTCTGCAATTTGTTTATTTGTGTGTCTGTTTATTTCTTTATTATATTTCTACAAAACGTTGAGCTTTTGCAGTTTGTGTGTATGTTTATTTCTTTATTATATTTCTACAAATTTTTGCAATTTGTGTGTCTGTTTATTTCTTTATTACATTTCTACAAAACGTTGAGCTTTTGCAATTTGTGTCTGTTTATTTGTTTATTATATTTCTACAAAAGTTGGGCTTTTGCAA